GGCATGTATTGAGCCAGGGCAACTGGTGCTCGAGACATGCTGGGACGTCCTCTCATCTTTGTGTCATAGGCGAGGTTCCTTGCTGGCTTTCTCTCAACCCATTGCTTCGTTATTCTCTTCAAAGGTCTAACATGTCCAGCATTGTTCCTTTATCTTTTGCGGATAACAATTACCCAATCCTTCTCGCATACCGGATTGACCTGTGGTAACTCTGGCTGTTGCCTAGTAACATGTTTCACAATGAATGGAAGCGGGCGTTTGTATTGCTTGCCCCCATTTTCCTCATCACTCTCCACAACCAACGGAGCGAACCTTCCGCATGAAATTTGGTTGGTGCTGGCAGTTGCATCAGCCAACTCAATCTTTCCATCACGAGCAAGTCCCATCACCTTATCTTTAAAGACGAAGCATTTTTCAATCGGGTGTCCGAGGAGACGATGATACTTGCAATAGTTGGGGTCGTCTACCTTAGAAGCTTCTTCGGGACGCTTCATCTCTGGTAATTCAATCAACTTGAGCTTTAACAATTCATCAAACATGGGTGACACATCAGAATCCAAGAACGGATACTGTTTTTGCTGCATCTCTTCAATGATTCTAGTACCCCAAGATGGGCGGGAAAATGACCTTAGCCTGGGATTTTCAGTCACTTTGGCGAAAACCCGCATTGGTGCTGTTTTTACGTTCATCGCCCGAGAGCTACGAAGCGGCCCGGCTGCCAGATCCGGTCTACGATCTGACCGAAAAGTACAAACCCGAGCCGGCGGGTGTAACAATTGCACGGATGCCCGCTCGGGGCAAAAGGAAGGGTAAAGGTTTGAGGCTAACCCTTTTCCCCGACCCCTTACATCCCGATTGGACCTTTAACTCGATCTAACCCTCTTTTTTTTGTTTGCAGAGATGGCCAGTTTTGGAGACGAGGACATTCCTCTACGCCCGGTGGCCAAGATTTCACTTGGCAAGAAGAAAGCCCAGGCCAAACCGGCAGGGGAAAAAGAGGTCCCGGTCGCCCGACCCATAGGGGCATCGACCATCACCACGGCTGAAGGCTACGTGGTGGACGCCTCGGAGGTCCTGGTCGCCCGGGTGGCGGTCGGGAAGGGCAAGGAAAAGGCGACGGAGAAGAACGTCTCCGAGACCGGGGCAAGAGAAACGGCGCCGGGAGCAGCACAACCCGACTCCCTCGGGCGGGGGCAGCAAAGGCGGATCTTCGATCCTCGCCCGGATCGGGAACGCCGGGCCGGCCAAGGAGGATGTCACGAAGCTGACCCCGAGCCAGGTAGCCGAGAAGATCGGCCACGACCTGGCTGAGGTAAACACATTTCCTCCTTTTAAGTTTTCTTTCAAGTAACTCCACTCGGCTAACTCGATCATCTTATGCACTGCAGATCTCCCGAGCGGCCCAGTTCCTTCAACAGCGGGCCTTACAGGCCAATGAAGCTGAGGCCTTGAAGAAAGTCGCCAACCGGCGACTACAGGAAATCCGGGACCTCGAGGCCGAGCTCAAAAAGGTGAAAGCCGAGCGGGACCTCTCGGAGCAGGTCGCCCAGCAGGCGGTCGGGGAAGTGGCCGAGCTGAAGGCTCGTCAAAACAACCCGGACGAACTCGCCCGACACCTCTTCCGGGACAACGAGTCAGGCACTCGTTTTCTCCGGTCCGTTCGAGGCACCGAGATCGGGGAGGAGCTGGTATGGATGTTTGGCTGGTGGGCATACAAAGCCGGCCAGCGAAAGATGCGTGAGCAGACCCGGAAGATCATGGAACAAGCCCTCGAAGGGGATGATCTTCAGCTGGTCCTAACTACTCTCCCTGATGATATACCTGACCCGGGGCCGGCGCCTTTCGAGCCGAAAGATCAGACTTAGGCGAGCGAAGCTGTGGCGACCCCGAGCGGAGCGGAGCTGCCGAAGAAGGGCGATGCCGAGGCGAAGAAGTAGAATAGATTTTACTTCTTTTTGTAAGTGACACTAGTCGGGAGCCCAGTCCCGAGATTGTACCGGGCACTCTCTTTGCAATTAATAAAATTTGCTTTTTGTCCAACTTGTGTCACTCGTCTATTTTCCTCGCACTTCTATTTTTAATCATACATGTGCCGACCCTTAATGCTCGACCTCATGGCCTTTTGTCCCGGTCACGGACTACTCGACTCGTTCGACATCCGACCTTGTGGCCTTAAGGCCCGGTTGTGCGTCCGCAGCTTCGACATCAAAATGGCCTGCCCGATCAGGTTTACCCGATCTCTTGGCCTTGGTCGAAATTTTGAAAATAAGTAAGCCTCCACGGTCGGGATTGTCCTGAACGACGGGCCTATAGACACTTCCTTCATCCCAGCCCCCACACTATTGTGCTCTCGAGGCACGAGTGAGTGCGATAGTGGAAAGAAGTTGGACGGATCGGGTAATTGTGCTGAGAGCTCCTGGCTTTCCCGATAGGTGGCGTGACCCACATGTCTGCCGAAGAGGAGCGCATTTGACCGGTCGATAGACTCGCCCGGTCGACGTAACTTGATAAGGGATTGATCTGCGCGCAATGAAGGTAAAGGAAATAACCGACCGGGCCGCCGTATGCAAACGGTCGAGAAATCACCGATCGTATATACATTAAACCTTCCCGCTCGCAGGCGGTTAAATACATATTTACAACAATAAATTTAATCACAAATGACGACCGAGACTAACTCGCAGGTCGAGTCCCCACTTCGTCCAAAGGTTACAAAAAAATAGGCTAGTGCCTAAACATAACGAGGTGCTCGGAATTCCAAGTCCCCTCGATTACCCGACCGGTTGTTGTCTCCAGTCGATATGTCCCCGGCCGTATGATAGCGCTGATGATGTACGGCCCTTCCCAATTTTGAGCTAGCTTCCCTCCTTCCAAAGGTTGACTGGCCTCCCTTCGTCGTAGAACGTAATCTCCCACCTGAAAATAACGAGGGTTGACCCGGACGTCCTTTGAACTCTTGACTCGCTTCTGGTACTCGGCCATACGCCGAGCGGCTAGCTTTCTCTTCTCTTCGACCCCATCGAGATCCACGACCATCGCATGTTCGTTTTCCTCCGCGTTGTAAGTTCTTTCTCGATCGGTCGGGATCCAAGCCTCGATGGGAGTCGGGCTTCTGCTCCATAAACCAAGGCGAAAGGGGTCTCCAAAGTAGCCTCTCTCGGGGTCGTCCGATAAGTCCATAATATATATGGCAACTCATCGGCCCAACTACGACCGGCCGAGTGTAGCTTCTTTTTCAGACCTTCCAAAATCGTCCGGTTAGCATTTTCAACCTGCCCATTTCCCTGCGGGTAAGCCACCGACGACCGGTTGGAGGTGCTTTGTGAAGAGTCTTGAAATCTGTTGCTTGATTACCTTGCTGAAATGCTCTGCTCGGGATTCTCTGAGGATACCGATCGAAGCAATAGATTGGAGAAAGTTCAAATGAGGGCCTCAAGGGCCTATTTATAGGAGGACATTTAGGCGGGAAACGAGTCCACTTGCGTGACACGACCCGCGCTGATTCCGAGGCGACTGTTGCAGTCGTAGAGGCCGGCAGTGGCCGACACATGGCGAGGGAAGGAATGACAGCTGGCTGATCGGTTTGATGGCTGACGGTTGGGCTTCTTCATCCCGTCCCGTTTTTTCCCGAACGGTCAAAAAGGCCCGGGCTGGGGGGGCTCTTGGTAGGGAATATCCCGACCGACATAATTTTTACCCCGACCGGGTTCTTCATAATAAGCCCGACCTGTTACCTGCAAAGACAAGAAGAAAAAGACAAAGGCACACCAGCCGGGGTAAAAATTATGTCGGTCGGGATATTCCCTACCATAACCTTTGCAGACCTTAGCTCGCAGGAACAGAGAAACAAAGAGCAGTATGAAGAAGATAAAGAAAAGTGAGAAGAACAATTTTATTGCCTTGCTATCTCTAACTTCTGTACATGAATATGAAGAAGATAAAGAAAAGTGAGAAGAACAATTTTATTGCCTTGCTATCTCTAACTTCTGTACATGAATACAATAATATATAGAGTACAAATGTAACCTTCTCATTAAGTACAAAAACTGTTTCAGCTGTTACAAATTATCATAATAATGTCCATTAAGATTTTGATTTATAACAAAATTGTATTATATTTAAATTATAATTATAATTTATAATTCAAATATGAGATGGGCTTGGACCAATTAATTAATTAATTCAATGGCCCAAATCAAATCTAATTGGTCCTGTTAAATTAAATTAAATTTATATGACCCAATTAGTTAAATCGGCCCAATCATCAATCTCAACATTGGCCCAATAATAACTTTATCAGCCCATTTTGTCGGGTTCAAAATTTCTGAGTCTACAGCGTGTTCGCAATCTGATTATGTTATTTGGTCTATTTCCTTACCGCATTGTATTGCACATTTGTTTTAATGAAAGTTGGTTATTTGGTTTTCAAAAAAAAACACATAATCAATCCAAACTATACCTTCAATTGCACTATATAATATTTGATGTTCTCATTTAAATAATTATATAGCGATCAAAATATTCTTAATATATTACAACAAATTCATTCCGTGCATCGCACGAATGAAAATACTAGTACTAAAAATAAAAATAATTTTTTTTAAAAAAAAAACTTATTTTTCAGAAAATATTTTACTAAATGTCATTTTCCAAATTTCCTAAAACACACTTTTAGTTCTATAAATATTAAAAGTTTTCACCCTATGAAATATGAATCTTAATTATTTGCTGGTTTATCGAAAATTTTGACTTCGTTTACCCAAATTCAAAATCCAAACACGCGGGACCACCACACGCATCCTAAAAAACCACGATCTGCATTGTCACGCATTAAGCAACTCTAGACCGTAGATTAACATGCTATCAACGGCGTTAAAGAGCTCCAATCCGCATCACGCAGATCTCCATCTCTCACCGTCAATTATCATCACCAATCCAACGGTTTTTCTTGACTTCTCTTCCGTATATAAATCTTAAATAAATCTTTTTATAGCGCAATCAAAAATCTTCGAAGTTCAGATTTCCTTAGCTTAGAAGAGAAGTACTTTCTGAAGATGTCTGGGCGTGGAAAGGGCGGTAAGGGTTTGGGAAAGGGAGGAGCGAAACGACACCGTAAGGTCCTCCGGGACAACATCCAAGGCATCACGAAGCCGGCCATTCGCCGTCTGGCTCGCCGTGGTGGAGTGAAGCGTATCTCCGGTCTCATCTACGAGGAGACTCGCGGCGTCCTCAAGATCTTCCTTGAGAATGTCATCCGCGATGCTGTTACCTACACCGAGCACGCTCGCCGGAAGACGGTCACCGCAATGGACGTCGTCTATGCTCTCAAGAGACAGGGCCGCACCCTGTACGGATTCGGCGGTTAGCTTTTCTTATCGGCGGTGTATATTTTGGTGTTCTATTCTGAATCAATCTCAGATTTATTGTGACAATGTTACTCTGATTTCAATTCAATGAATTTCAGTTCTTATGAATTCTCAATTTTCTTAATTTTATATCTTCTATTTGACTCTTCGTTGCAATTCGTAATATTTGTAAAATGGTTTATGAAAAGTTTGTTCAAAGGAAAATATTTGGTGAATTTTTATTTTACATTCTCAACTTGTATTCCATTCCATTCCATTCTAGGATGTAAACATTTTTATGTGAATTCAGGGAATAGAAGTAAAGAGACTGTATAGTAGATCTTTTGTAATAGTGTCTATTTTTTTTTTTTCTTTCTAGAATATAATACAGTGAGACTTTGTTACGGTCTACGGTGTGTTATTAATGTAAAAGTTAATTTCATTTTTTTTAAATCAGAATAATTGCATTTGATTTTAGTACTTTTGTGGCATGTTATTTCCTATTCTCTATCAATAAAGTAGTTTTTAATGCAATTAATTATAAAGATATTTGGTTTTTAATTACGTTTTTTTTTCTTAAAAAAATAAACATAAAAATATATTGAGTTAACTCATTTGTATAAAAAATGATTGAAATCCTTTTATATTTAAGGATCAATAGATGTTCATTTACTGTTATCTGTAAAATCTAAAACATAAAATGGATTTAACTCTAAGTAAAAGACTTTCTAATTTAACATGAAATAAGCCACAGGGTATACCAATACCTGAAAGTATAATAATAGTTACGAAGTACTTTTGTCAATTAGGGATGGTAACCGGGCAGGTTGGGGAGTGTTGAAAATAATCTTTACACCAAAAGTTAATTAATATTCGTCGGCGAAACCCTTTCAGGTAGCCTTCTTTGAGGAAAGCCACCAGTTCTGGTGGCCTTCATCGGAGAAGGCGACATGAAAGGTTGCCTTCCGTCGCCTTCCGTCGTATATGCGACAAGCGATAGCTTGGTCGTCGTTGGTTGTCGAATTTTTTTGTCGAATTTAAAATGACCTGCAAGCTGCAATCACATGTCATTTACCGGTTCATAGGTTTCATTGATTCAATTTGTCATGTTTTAAAATTTAATTGCACATTTTTTAAATTTAGGTACCTAATTGATTTTTGGTGTAAAGTTTAGGGACTTATTTAATCATTTTCTATATATATATATATATATATATGATTATTCGGAGACAGAGTGTGCGAAGAGGGGTATCCTGTCTTGTCTCTGATGAAGAATTACATATATTATCCATCCTTTTTTTTTTTTTTTTGAAATTTTTTCCTATTTCCGTTCCCAGCGGAGATGGGGTGTCAATCTATATTCTTTAGAAAATTAAATGTTTCTGTAAATTAGTCAGCAATCAAATTAAAGAAGCACATTACTGCATAAACAAGTTTTCTAAAAAATTAAATATTCTAAAAAATTGCTTGCAAAAAATATTAGTGGAGCGATATTGACTTTTTATATTTTAATAGATTGAGAAAAAATAGATATGAACAGATACTATATTATAACATAGTCAGTAATGTGAGCATATAGGCATTAACGTGTAATCCAACTATCAGCTTAGGTTTTTACTTGAGATGGAGCACATGCTTCAATTTGGTATCAAAGCCAGACCAGAGGTTATGGGTTCGAATCTTATCTTAGCGCTGCTTGGAACCCACCTCACACGTGAGGGGAGTTGTGTGAGCATATATCCATTAACGTGCAACCTCTTCAATTAGTAATACTAAAAAAATGTCATTATTTGATAAGTAATTTTATCCTTAGGAACAATATTTTTGAAATGAGCCAACATTTACAAAAGAATTTTTTAACGGAAGTCTTGTATTAAATTATCAATGACATCTTTAGAATAGGTTTTCATTAAAAATAAATAAATTATTTTGTAATACTTTATTTGTCCTTGTCTATAGATGTTATGTATTAGAAATATATTTTGTTATTTTAATAATTAATATAATAGTATACTAATAATAAGCTATTAATTACAACAAAATTAGGCATCATAATCTCATCTTTCCTACCATGCATGATAACGCATCTTAGAGGTAGGTCAGTCCATTGGTCCATTTATTGTGGTCTAACTCAATCGTAATTCTCTTTTACTATAAGTTAATCATAGTAACTTTCTTTCAATTAGAACTGGTGTATTCCTTTTATGATTTCCTTACTATTTTCGTGAACATAACTTAACCGATTAACAAGTACTTTTCCAAAGATTCTTGATAATACAAACTGTCATTTACTTCACTCGTCAAGTGATTCATGATACTGTGTCGTGCCTCCACTAACAGGAGATCTTAACAATCCTTGTTACTTTTACTAATTTGTTGCTTACCTCTTAATAGCTTTGTTCACTTTTCTCTAATTTAGAGAATTCACACGCGACGAGTTGCGATCACACTTCTTCAATATGCTTTAAAGACTTATCCATTTTAGTTGGCATTGCCAACCTACAAGTCTCTCATTTTTTCAAATCTTTTCCAAAATTTCTTATGTTTCAATACACTCCGAGTTTTGATTTCTCCCTTCTTGATAGTCTTTACCATTTCCTTTTAAATGAAACTCTTAGCATTACTTTCTTTCCTGTCTTAGCCACGATACATCCCTTCAAAAGTCCTTTGACACGAAGTCTCATTCTCTTTTAAGGAAGTCCAATGATTGAACAATTCCTTTAGGTTTACTTCTACCAAACTTTTTTTTTTTTTCTTTTTTTTAAACTATTCCATCATTCTATCAGGAATTCAACTACCTCTTGTTTCATGCTCATTACTATAGTTCTTTCTTTAAGTTCTCACACTTCTTATCATTCCTAAATCCACATACTTTTACTTTTCCCTTCTTACTTAATTCATTTCTTAGTTCCTTCGCACTTCATAAGATCATACAACTTACTTACAACGTTTCTTCTTATCTTCATATATCTCAAGGTCCAATGTTACTATCCATTATCTTAAACTTCACTCTTTTGGAGTTCACAACTCCTAAGTCATCCCTTTCCTATTTCCTTAAAGATAAAAGAAATTGTCTTACTCTTGTGTAACCCAATCTTAAGTTTCAATTCTCTATGTTCAAAGTTTAACTTTTATTCTTTGAGTTTAACCCTTGAAGATCTCTTCACCAATTATCCAAAAAAGCATAAAAGTCACAGAAAGTTGAAATTCCAAAATCAACTATATTACTTAAACGAGTATGGCGTTCATTAAAAATATACCTGTCTCCACACCATCAATCCTCACTTGAGCTCCACACATCAACTGATTACCACCATCGCTACTTTGGTCTTGGTTTTCTTTCTCACTTCCCTTGTTCTTGATACTATCGTGGTTGTCCCTTTTTCCACCCTTGTCATTCTTGTTTCCAGACTGGTTCCTATAAGATCTTTTCTTCAGCTGACGTCCACTCTCATTAGGTCCTAAACTCAAGGCGTTCCCTTTTTGGTTTACGTAGAATTCAAAGGCTCGATGCCCAACCTTCCACACTTGAAGCACCTGATCGGGTCCCCTCTACAGTTAGTTCTTGGGTGATCCTTCCCTCATTTCTTGCAATGGTAGTGTCTTCCTCCATTCTTATGTTTCTTTGCTACTCTTGGGCCTTGTCTTGGGTGACCCTGACGGTTAAGTCTTGACTTCTTCTCGACTTGTTTCGCGTCTTCTATAGCTTTTCTCTTCCTTTGGCTTTGCGTGCCCCCTTGAGTTTGATGTTCCCCGACGACAGGAAGATTCGTTCCATGAATGCTCCGAATCCACACGTTGCTTCTTGGCACCATTACGATACTACAGGGACAACACTTAATCACTAACATTTGTCTACTGTGAACTTATTCTATCACTTTACCCGCAACAAAAGCACACAAACAGGATGCATGTATAACTCTTATACTTATCACATAACTTTCTACTTTCTACCTTCAACTTATAACTTTTAACTTCTAGCTTTTAACTTTTAACTTTTCTTTCAACTTTAACTTTCGAAGTTTCAACTTCTAGCTTTCTTAGCTTTTCACTTTCAACTTTTAGCTCTCAGCTTTTACTTCTACTTTCAACTTTAAACTTTTAGTTTTTCACTTTCAACTTCTCTACTTTCAAAAGATAAGCACGTTGCACTTTAAACACATTGATAAAGCACATAAACAGTTAAGCAAGTGTAAGGAAGCTCACAACCTCACCGTGTTCCTAACTGATACTTAGAGTTCTTCTTAACTCTGGTTCTCATACATAGTCACTGAACTTAGAGTCTTTCTCATCTCAGATCTCAGATCTTAGAGTTCTTTCCTTATCTTGTCTTCCCTAGGATCTCACTTAGAGTTCTCTTCTTAACTTGATCATCTTAGTACTTCAACTTAGAGTTCCTATACTCAATCTTAAGGGTCAAACTTCCTAAGTTCCCGCAGTTCGTACTGCTCTGATACCAACTTGTAACACCCCACTTTTATTAAACCTTATTAACAGATTCTTAACTTAGAAAGGGATACTAAACGAGCATAATAAACTTACTAAGCCAACTTTAAGAGGTGTCACCGCCACAATCACCACTCACGGCGATTGCACAGGCTAGGAAAACAAATCTAAACAATGTCAAGCTTAACTAACTTTAAACAATTAGGGGAATAAATCCCCGGTGTCCAATATCATAAAAAACATCTAGATAAGTCTACAACCAAGTCTCAAAATAAACATAACTGAATAGGAGTTTAGACTACAACTAGCACACTAAGCTAATCTAGTCTAACTCGATCGCTCTCAAGAACTGGCCCACTTGAAAGGGATTAACAAACAAACAAGTAGAAAACAGCATGTTAACACAAAGCTAAGTATAACGCCGCTCAACCTTATAAAATACTACAGTATATACTTTTGGAAAACATTTGTTTCACACACTTAGATCAAGTATTCTTAATCACTTTGCACAATCATTTACACATACTTAACAGTATTTCTATATGCTTGCAACCTGAATATCAAATAGGCATACTTTCCCAATCATTTGACTCATAAGTCAATCTCATGCTTTCACATAAACACATATATATAATCATGGCGAAATACATTACTCATGCCCAACTGATGGGTACAAATATACTTAAACTTTACCAAGCAATCTCATGCTATCATATATCTCAATGAACAATCTCATATCATCCTATATTCCAATAAGCAATCACATGTTATCATTTACCCCAATAAACAA